TGTGGTGGGTGGTGGTGGTGGGTTAGTGGTGGTGGTGGTGGTGGTTGGTGGGTGGTGTAGTGGTGGTGGTGGTGGGTAGTGGTGGTGGTGTGGTGGCTGGTAGGTGGTGGTGGTGGTTAGTGGGTGGTGGTGGTGGTGGTGGTGGTCGGAGGGTGGTGGGTGTGGTGGATGGTGGTGGTGGTATGTGTCTGATGTGGTGGGTCAGATAGTAGTGGGTGGGTGGCTGGGATCGGTAGTGGTGTGGTGGTGGACGGTAGGTAGTGGTTAGGTGGGTAGGTGGTGGATGTGGAGGTGGTATAGCGTGGTGAGGATGGGTGGATGGCTAGGTTGGTGGATAGTGGTGGTGGTATTGGTTATAGTGGTGGTTAGGGTTGGAGTATTGATGTGGTGGATGGTTAGGTGGATAGGTTATTAGTGTGGTTACAGGATTATAGGTGGTTGGATTGAGGTTAGTGGTGGGTGGGTAGTAGTTGGTGGGTTGGGTAGTGGATTATGAGGTTGGTTATAGTGTGGTATATGGGTATGATGGTGTGTAGTGGTGGTAGGTGGTGGGTGGTATAGTGGTGGTGGTCGGAGGTGGTGAGTAGTGGTGATTAGGTAGGTGGTGAGATTATAGTGGTATTTATAGGTGGATTAGTGGATTAGTAAGTAGTTAGTGGTGGTAATATGCTATTGGATGTGATTTGGTAGTTGGTGGATGGTAAGTTTACTGGTAGGTGGTAGTGAGGTGGTGGTTGAGTTGGTAGTAGGGGTGGTTTCGGGGTCTCAGTATGTGTGCATGTTAGTGTATGTGGTGGTGTGTGGGTGGTAGTGGTGGCTGGTGGTGGTGTGGGTGTGTTGGTGGTGGGTAGTTGGTGAGTTGAGTGGTGGTTGGTGGTGGTGGTGGTGTGGTGGTGGTGGGTAGGTGGAATATATATATATATTTATATAATATATAGTATTTATATATATGTATGTATAATGTATATATACATTTTTATATATTATTATATATTATAATATATATATAAATAATTATTATTATGTGGGTATTATATGGTATTGTATGGGTTTGTGTATAGGTTATATTATATATATCTATATTCTGATCGTATTATTATCTTATTGATATATTATTATTATCTGATATAACATATTTATATTATATGCTATATATATATAGTATACGTTAGGTGTGTATGGGTAATATATATATATTATTAATCTATTCTGATATCTTTCTATCTATCTTCTATGCTAGTGTCTTATCTATTATCTATCTATCTATCTTATTTATATATATATAGTATATATATATTATAGTATAAGTATATAAATTTAGTTTGTATTAATTTTTTATATTTGAGTTATATATTGGTATATATAATTATATATTTATTAGTATATATATATATATAAGTTAGGTAGTATCACTCACAATGTAGTAGGTATGGAGCTTTCTTGCGTTTCTGGGAAAGTTCTGCGCTCTTGGTGGCCTAAGCGTGAGGCGGGGTTGCCTTGGGCAAGATGTGATAAGAGTTAGTTAAGGGTACAGAGAAATGCAAAGAAAAGACGGATGGGAAGCACTAGTTGGGAATGGGTGTGTGGGTGGTGTCGAGCAGTGGGCATCAGTTGGGAAAAATAAACACGGGTAAGCGTGGAGTGCGGTACAAGCCGGGGGTGGTGGTGGTGGGTGGTGGGGTGGGGTGGTGGTGGTGGTGGGTGTGGTGGAGCGGAGGTGGTGACGTGGGGTGGAGTGGATGGTACCACTGGTGGACATAACGGGTCGGGGTGGATGTGGGGAGTGGTAGTTGGGGGTGGGCTGGTAGGTGCGGGTGCGTGGGTGGTGGGTATAGTGAGGGTCGGTGGGTAGTCGGGAGTGTGAGTTGCGAGGAGTGGAGAGGATTTGGTATTGTGAGTAGTGGACCGTTATATGGGTAGTTAGCTGAGTGTCGAGGTAACACGTATAATAGTAAATAAAGGGCACTAGAAGATCGGAAAATGGAAATATCCAGCTGTGCGTGCTCTATAATGGTTCGAAAACTACGAGGGGTAAGAAGAAGTAGGGAGGAATGGCGAGAAGTGGGGGAGATTGGGAGAATGTGGTGGAACGGGAGAGTAGGGAAGAGAGAGGGCGTTAGGTCGACAGGAGGGGAGAGCTGGGGGGCTACAAAGGGAGAGAGCCTTGATGACTTGGGGATAGGGTGAAGAGAGTATTGTTGTTGAGTAGGGGGAAGTGAGTTCGGGGAGGGGCAAAAGGACTCCCTATAACCCGGTTCCAGAGTGAAGCACCTAGGATTAACGGCAGAAGAACACGGATTAAGAGAGGGATAACGGGAGAGTATAGATGATGAGGAAAAGTGTGAGTTGTAGCAGTGGAGGTGGATGAGAAAGACATGGGACATTAAAAACGGTAAGGAAAAAACACACAAAAAAGAATCAGGACGGGCACAGACGTAGACAGACAGAGTTCTTTGAGGTGAAGAAAGGGAGTGCGCGAGTATAAAGAGATGTTGCTTCACCGAATGATCACCTTAGTCTAACAGTTCTTACCAGGAAGTGAGAAAATATGGAAATAATAAAAAACTAGGGTGATATATTGACAATAACAGCGGCGATTACGATTTTTAAGTGACCCATCTATTACCATAAAAGACAGCAACTTTGTTTTTATGATTTACCATATGTATACAATTTATTTTAATATGCATATATACATTACATATATACATTACATCCTTACTTCCATATCATAACTACAGTATGGTCTCAGTTTCCCACAGCCATGTGGTAAAAGGAAAATTTTGCCTGTAATGGACAGAATTTGACTGAAAAATAAGACACTTTTTATCTATGATATTACCTTCACAGGTTGAATATCAGAAAGTTGGGTAAACATTCAGAATACCTTCACATGACTGATCATTACGATATTGGTATCGATGGATCCCTCTCTCACCCTATACAACCCAAATGTGTCGAACATTTGCCGCACAATCTCCCAAACCCCCACATTCTTGGCTCTGACAGCAGGGCATGAAAGGTAAAAGGGATACAGTAGTGTAAAATATGAATAATATAAACAGAATCAGTCATTACACTCTCAAATGCAGGGGGTACAGCCCCCGACTACTAACTCCCAACCACCACAATAGAAGACAAGAATCTACCATGCATTCATGGCAAGTTAGAGCATACAACCAACCTGCAGCAGTGTCTGACACTAAGTCAGTCCTATGTCTATCCTGCCATATACATATGGTAGATTCTTTATTGTCCATCATTCATATTGTACTACGCCATTTCTCTGGTACCCCCTGCTATTTGGACCAAGATTGTAGGTATGGGAGGGGGGTTCTGTGGCATGATATATATTTGGGTACTGAAGGATGAGAGAATTTTTAAAAAATCAATACTGTCATGATCAGACAGGCAATTTTATTGCAAATATTTACCAAAAGTTACATAATACTTTGGTATGCATTACACATTTACAAGAAAATGTCATCCCATTATAATATTGAGATAGCAAAACCACACACACTAATACATGAAGTAAACTGTGTAGGAAAAATATAACATCACAAACATCATAGTTTGTGACAAATGTCATGCCAATAATAAGTTTATGGCCATTGGATGGGGGTCCTGGCGCAGAGCCCCAATAGGGAAATATAGTAATTGAATGGGGGTCTTGGGGAAAAGACAAGGTTTTGGTTAATACAAATATATTAATGGATATCCCAGGAGTGGCTGGAGTTTTTGGGACTTAACATCAGAGGGTTGCAATCACTTCATAAAAAATACTTTCATTTATATCATTTGCGATGGAAAACAAGATTTGCAAACTTTACAATGCTGTTAATTAAAGAAGGATAATCTTACAGAATAGTTATGCCTAATATAACACAACAAATTTAATAATGGATTCCTCTCACTCTCTTCTATCCAAATTATTGCATGGATATAAACCCCAAACCCCCATATTCTGCTGCCCTCTACTTCCCACCCAGGAAAACAAAGAATCCACAATGTATGTACAGCAGGAGAGAGTGTCAGACTCACCATCAGACGCTCCCACGTCAGTCATACACTCTCTCCTGGCATGAATACATGGAGGATTCTTTATGATTCTGTGGAGGTTGGAGGCAGTGGCCCCCATGGGGAGGTCACAAGGGGCACAAACCCATGCATTAGACAACATAGTGACTAATTCCATGAATATCATTCATATTTTACCATGCAATTTCCCTGATAAATTTCATGCCCTCCCATCCTATTGGGAGAAAATTGTCACTAATGTTGCGTTCAGAACTCCTCGTCTTGCTCGTCCAGATAACTTGTCCAGGACCAGCAGGACAAGTGGGCCACGTTCAGAACCTCCAAGACCGTTGCTGCCCAATATGCAACCGATTTGAATGTAAACATTCACTTTTTTATCATTCTGGTCTTTATTTTACATGCTGAATAGGTTTTGTAACTCCCTTGAGGCATTTTTAACTTACCTGCAACTCTCAAACACAAAAATATCCTTTGATAACTCCAATAAAGGGCCATAAAATTATCCATCAATATCTTGTGGTTACCTGCAACTTTCAATGTTTACATACAAAAGCTACTGTGACATCATCTCGTCCTACTCGCCTAGGTTCGCAGGACGAGATGGACGAGATGGACAACTTATCAGAGATGAGATAGTAGAGGTTCCGAACAGTCAAAACACCTCGTCCAACTGGTCTGGACGAGCAGGACGAGCAGTTCCGAACGCAGCATAATGGGAGGATTTCCTTACAATAATTTCTATATAATTGGATAGTAGAGAGTGAGAAGAATCCATCAATACCAAAATCATAGCATTCTGTTATGCAGAATTATTCTGTAAACTTACCAAACGAAGGAATAATAATTGCAAGATTGGATGGCTGTGTGAAACTAAGAAACTATCAAAAATATACTTCTCTCATTCTCCAGTTGTATCTACAAAAAACTACTTGAAACCCAATCATCACTACATGACCCACCTTTTTAGCTGCAGCCTCGATGGCAGGTTGGTTGTAATAGGCTGCCACAGTCTTGGCCCTTTCTCGCTCGGACGTGGCATTGCTCTGGGCTCTATATTCTACCTTGTCGTGACTCAAAAAGGAGGTCGTCCTCGAGAACAGCTTGACTGCATTGCTGTTTGGCAGGGCCCTCACCACTGACAGCACGGGAGCCATTGTCAATAATTTCGCTGATATGATCTGATGCTTTTCTTTGGTCTAAGTCATAATAATGGGTCGGATTTTTTTGTCATAAAAATTGCTCCTTGACCTGTCCTCCCTTCGATATCTGAAGGCGTCTGTTGTTCATTCAACTCTTCCTTGTCGTCCACGACGGCTCTCTCACTGATATATATATCGTGTCACTGTGAAATCAGAGATCTCACTGGTTACCCTTGATTCCACTGCCCGAGCTTTGCCAACCCTCCTCTCGTACGGTTGAGTCTTGAATGAGGAGTTACGGACAAAACACGCACAGCTGATCCTGGGTGCGTTCGAGTTGCTCATCGTATAAAAATGTATTGATCTCGTTAATAATATTTTTTGAGTGAGCGTCAGCAACAGTATTACACAATTCTTATACTTTTACATTTACATCTAGTCACTAATTATGGACATGCCAAACGCGTATCCTGTAAATGTGAGTTACTGCACTATTGGAATAAGTCTGCTTGAAGATGTGCAGTGGCATTCTGTCTTCTGCAATAAGCGTTAGAATCAAATCAAATCCTATTTAATTTCTCTTTTGAAGATCTTAAACTATTTGATACTACCATATTTAAAAAAAATATATTTGTGGTATGAGTGAATTATTTACCTTATAGAAAAACGGGTTTAAGGTAAGGTTATATGAAATCACACGAACTACTCCGATCTCCAATATCAAATATGTAGCCATTCCACACTCTCAACTTATTTTTAAAGAAAACTCTCTCTCTCTCTCTCTCTCTCTCTCTCTCTCTCTCTCTCTCTCTCTCTCTCTCCTCTCGCTCTCGCGCTCTCTCCTCTCTCTCTCACTCTCGCTCTCTCGCTCTCGCTCTCGCTCTCGCTCTCGCTCTCCGCTCTCGCTCTCGCTCTCTCTCTCTCTCGCTCTCCTCTCACTCTCGCTCTCGCTTCACTCTCGCTCTCGCTCTCGCTCTCCTCTCCTCTCACTCTCGCTCTCTCTCTCTCTCTCTCTCTCTCTCTCTCTCTCTCTCTCTCTCTCTCTCTCTCTCTCTCTCTCTCTCTCTCTCTCTCTCTCTCTCTCGCTCGCTCTCGCTCGCTCTCTCTCTCTCTCTCTCTCTCTCTCTCTCTCTCTCTCTCTCTCTCTCTCTCTCCTCTCTCCTCTCTCTCTCTCTCTCTCTCTCTCTCTCTCTTTCTCTCGACCTCTCCCACTACCTCTCCACTACCTCTCACTCTACCCTCTCCCCTCTCCTCTTCCTCTTCCTCTTCTCTCCCTCTCCCTCTCCTCTCCCTCTCCTCTCCTCTCCCTCCCTCTCCTCTCCCTCTCCCTCTCCCTCTCCCTCTCCCTCCTCTCTCTCTCCCCTCTCTCTCCTCTCTCTCCCCTCTCCCTCTCCCTCTCTCCTCTCGCTCTCCCTCTCCCTCTCCCTCTCCT